TATATTTACTTTTTCTATTTACATTTTTATATTCACAATTTTATATTCACAATTTTATACTTACTTTTTCTATTTACATTTTTCTATTTACTTTTTATATTCACAATTTTATATTTATTTTTATATTCACAATTTTATACTTACTTTTTCTATTTACTTTTTATATTCACATTTTTATATTTCCCTCATATTCACAATTTTATATTTGCTTTTTATATTCACATTTTTATACTGACTTTTTCCGTTCACCTTTTTTATTTACCTATTCTATTCTCAACTTTTTCTTTCCTTTTTATATTCACCTTTTTGATTTACCTTTTCTATTCCCAATTTTTCATTTCCTTTTTCCGTTCACCTTTTTTATTTACCTTTTCTATTCCCAATTTTTTCTTTCCTTTTTCCGTTCACCTTTTTTATTTACCTTTTCTATTCCCAATTTTTTCTTTCCTTTTTATATTCACCTTTTTGATTTACCTTTTCTATTCCCAATTTTTCATTTCCTTTTTCTGTTCACCTTTTTTATTTACCCTTTTATATTCACCATTTTATATTTCCTTTTTATATTCACAACCGTACATTTATTTGTATATTTACATTTGATAGAAATAAACACAGTAACATTTCAATATATAACTTAACTGGTCATTTAACAACCCAAACCATCCCGTGACACACAAAGACAACCGAAGCTGCTGAGACACCACTGAGGCAGCACAGAAACTACTTCAGCTCCTGGCATTTTTTTTTTTTTGACTTGAAAACTCATTCAGACAAACATCCTCAAAGCCAAATACTTGGAGGAAATAAATGAATATCTTTAATTTCCGAGGTGCTGGAGGTGCCACTCACCCCTGAGGGCGGGCAGCAGGGACCTCTCCTTCTTGTCATCGCACTTGTTGCACTCGCTGAAGTAGAGCAGCAGGAACACGTCCAGCAGCACCCACAGCAGGGACGTGGCCAGAACCACCTTGCAGTAAATGAACCTCCTCATCCTCTGCTGGGATGGGGCTCCGGAGCCGGGAAAACACCGGGGAGGGGGAGGATGAGGGATCACAGAGCCACGGATAAAACCCGCCCCGGGAGCGGGGATGGGATTCCCTCTGCAAGGGAGAGAAAAACAACACACGGTTACAACAGTCTCATTGCTTTACTGACCATTAGGTTATAGTAGCACATGAATCTGCAGTTCCCTCAGCGTATTTAGGATGCTGTTTTAGGTCTCTGAACACCACAAGCAAGTTCATTTTTATCTTGCCAAAAAAACATTTTGGCCACCCCCCGGCCATGACCTCGGAAAGGAACAGTGAGGCACTCACAGACACAACCTGGCTCCTGCCAGGAAATTGGGGCAAAGAAAGGGAAGGGTGAGACCTCCATGACTGATTCTCCAAGGGATGGAGAATCAGGTGGGTTCCCCTGGAGAAGAGAAGGCTCCAGGGAGAGTTGAGAGCCCCTTGCAGGGCCTAAAGGGGCTCCAGGAGAGCTGGAGAGGGACTGGGGACAAGGGATGGAGGGACAGGACACAGGGAATGGCTTCCCACTGCCAGAGGGCAGGGATGGATGGGATATTGGGAAGGAATTGCTGGCTGGGAGGGTGGGGAGGCCCTGACACAGGTTGGGCAGAGAAGCTGTGGCTGCCCCTGGATCCCTGGAAGTGTCCAAGGCCAGGCTGGACGGGGCTTGGAGCAACCTGGGCTGGTGGAAGGTGACCCTGCCCATGGCAGGGGTGGAACTGGATGGGCTTTAAGGTCCCTTCCAACCCAAACCAGTCTGAGATTCTCTGCTCTCTACCCTGGCTGCAATCTGTGCTCAGTAATTAAAATTTAATTAATGACTGTAATTAAACCCCCCACTCACCATCACAACCTGCACTCCAGGCCAGTACTGGGAGTCCTGCCCCGGCCATGCTCCCAAAGCACCCCCTCAGCACTCAACTGCTGGATAATTTTCCAAGTGCCTATAAAAGAAAACATTAAATGTAATTTTCATGGAATCACCGAGGCTGGAAAAGCCCTCCCAGCCCATGGATCCCCCTGTGCCCAATGCCCACCTTGTCCCCCAGCCCAGAGCACTGAGTGCCACAGCCAGGCCTTCCTGGGACACCTCCAGGGATGGGCACTCCAAACCTCCCTGGGCAGCCCCTGCCAAGGCCTGACCACCCTTTCCAGGAAGGAATCCTTTATCCATTACAGTTTTCCATGCTGACTCTGAACCCCTCAGCTCTCCAACCCAGCAGTATCACAACTGGCAGCTTTACATTTTACATTACTTTGTAATTCCAGCTCATCTGAGCCAATGGGGTGGAAGAGCTGGAATGATTTAAATGAAGTTTTTTAAATTATTCTCAAAGCGTTATTGTGCTGTGTCCTCATTAATAACATTTTCCATCTGTCCTCAACATCAACACAACCAATGGCTCTCACTGCTGAGGGACTCCCAGCAGTTGATTTAGAATTTCAGGGCACAGGAATTGGTGTTTCAGGGGAGCAAAATTCATTTCCACGCTGGTCACCAGGAACAGTCTCGTTACAGGAAGGGAATAGTAAAGGAAAAACCCACATTGCCCAGGAAAAGCTGCCCCTGGATCCCTGGAAGTGTCCAAGACCAGGTTGAAGAGGTCTTGGAGCAACCTGGGCTGGTGGAAGGTGTCCCTGCCCAGGGCAGGGGGTGGCACTGGATGGGCTTTAATGTCCCTTCCCACCCAAACCATCCCAGGATTTCGTGGTTCTGTAACAAAATCCCCCCTCCAGACCTCAGAAGAGATGAAGCTTCTCAAAGACCACGTTTATTGTTAAGTAAAATACAGAATAACAAGTTTTCCAGGAAGAGGAGGAAGGTAAAAACGCTGAGGTTTTCAGCTACCCCTTCCAAGAATAAAGCTATTTTTTCAAACATTATCTTGCAGCAGAGCAGTGAGGGAAACTCCTGCCCCCAACTCCTGCAGTTTGGCAGTGTTAGAAGCAATAAAAGCAGGTTTTTATAGCAGAAAACAGGATGCAAATTTTAGGAATCATCTGCACTGCCAGCCTTTCCCAAAACTGCCACAATAAACTGCTGTGGTAGGACAATGTTATAGAGGCTGCAAACGCAAGGTCTGAATAAGTGGCAGAGCTGGAGATGTAAAACCTTGACTTGCTTTTCTCATTTACTAAAAAAAAACCAAAAAAAACAAAACCACTTCTCTGCAGCTACAATTTGGTAAAACAAAGCAATTGTTCAGCATTTCTTGTTGTGAGTCCCCACTCGGCCCCTGCTCGTTCCCCACCAGCCGGGCCAGGCACGGAATGAACAATATTTAATTTTCCCAGGGGCTCGAAGCCACAACATTCATCACCACTCCATCCAGCCGCCTCCAAAGCTCTTAATTCACTTTCACGGCACCTCTGCGAGACAAAATAAACATTGATCCGACAAAAACCCCTCAATTCTTGAGCCAGAATTTTCCTACCAGCGCTGCCAGTCTCACTTTTTTAGTGAAATCTTGGGGTAATTCCAGGCTCTTTTCCAGATTGATGGGGTGTCACCTTCTCCAGGTCAAACAATCCCAATTCTCCCAGCAGAGCTGCTCCATCCCTCAGACCATCTCTGTGGCCTCCCCTGGACTCCAACAGGTCAAAGTCCTTCCCTTCCCAAATGGCCACTTTCTGTAAATCAGGATCAGCACATCCCTGAACAGCCCCTTAATCTCTTGCCACTCTTAGAGCTCGACAGGAATTAAGTGTCCTAATCCCTGAGCCAGCCAGAAATAAACTGTTTGCACAAATTCCTCACGGAAAATCAGGAGAATTGCCCAATTTCTCACCCAGCTCTTCCTGATTCAGCACAGCAGCACAGTTGGAGTCCGAGTCCAGCTACATCCTACGACTGTGATTACATCTCCCAAATTAATACCAAAACTATTTCATCTGATCTCCAAAAACCTGTGAGACTGAAACCTGTGCTGGCCACCTGTGCTCCCAGGGACACCAAACTCACTGAATGCCTGCATAAGGAAGGATCCAAAGCCCAAATTATTAGTATGGGAAGATGGTTTCAAACCTAAATAGGCCACTTTTTTTATGGAATGAAACCTAAACCAGAGCTGAACATCATTTTTCAAGCCAACGTTGCTCTTAATGCCACCTGAAAAGCTTAATGAAGGATTTCCAGGAGCTGGGCCTGATAAAAACATGGCTTAATGTAACATTTGTGATAGGCAAATGTGGGGAGGAATTCCACACCTCCTTCCTCTGCCAGATGTGGCCACATCTGTCTGCATCCACAGCAAGCTGCTGTGCAGCATCAGCCAGCAGTTGCCAGGCAACCAACAGTCTGCTCCTGTGGGGACCAGATTCCCAAAATCCCTCCCAGGTTGCTCCCCTGGGGACCAGGCTGCCCAAAATCCCCCCCAGGCTGCTCCTCTGAGCACCAGGCTCCCCAAAATCCCTCCCAGGCTCTTCTCCTGAGGACCAGGCTGCCCAAAATCCCTCCCAGGCTGGTCCCCTGGGGTCCAGGCTCCCCAAAATCCCTCCCAGGTCTTCTCCTGGGGACCAGGCTGCCCAAAATCCATCCCAGGTTGCTCCTCTGGGGAACAGGCTCTCCTAAAATCCCTCCTAGGCTGTTCCTCTGGGGACCAGACTCCCCAAAATCCCTCCCAGGCTGGTCCCCTGGGGACTAGGTTGCCCAAAATCCATCCCAGGCTGCTCCCTTTGGGATCAGGCTCTCCCAAAATCCCTCCCAGGCTGCTCCCCTGGAGACCAGGCTCCCCAGAATCCCTCCTAAGCTCTTCTCCTGGGGACCAGGCTCCCCAAAATCCCTCCCAGGTTCTTCTCCTGGGGTCCAGGCTCCCCAAAATCCCTCCCAGGCTACCCAGTGGCTCCCCAGTTTCCCCATCAGTCACCAGAGGCAGAGTGGAACTGGGGACCCCAGCCTGGCTTTCCCAGCTGCAGGGAGGTTTGGGAATTGCTCTCAGGGAGGGGAGGGGAGTTGTTTTTCCTGCTGCCCAGTGTTTCCAGGCTCCTCCAGCTTCTCCCAGAGCTGAGCCTGCAGGTCCCAACAGCCCCCTGGGAGAGGCTGGATGTGCTGGGCAGTGCCAAGGGGGATCACAGGGCACCAGGAATCCTGCAGCATTCCAAAGCCTCTCAAAGGACAAGGAGATTCGGTCACACTAAAAAGTTTCACTCCAACCACCAGGATGTGGAAGAGGAACCGAAAACACCCCAAAATACGCCCCGGTGACACCCGTGCTGGCTTTCTCAGGGGACAAGGGACACAGCCGTGACCCAAACCACAGCAGGGCTCTCCCTGCAGCTCAGCAGCACCTCATGGAAAGCAAATAAAAAACGTTCCTGGAAATCTGTTGATATTTGTACCGCCGGTTTCCAAAACAGGTTTGGTGAAACATCACATTAAACATCATCTACAGCCCCACGGAGACTTTCCCCAGCACCTCTGCACGGCACCAGCCACAGAGAGAACAACTCCTCCTCCTCCTCCTCCTCCTCTCGGCCTTTACATCCCTCGAGAAGTATCGAGGGGAAAAATTACTCAACGGGAGGGGGCAGAAAACTGCCTTGGCTGAGGTTTTGGGGGCACATTTTCAGCGCTGTCCGCAGCCTTCGGCTCATCGGAGAGAGGAGGGAGCAGGTTTTCCAGAGGAAATTTCCCGCCTTTTCATTATTTAACTGAGGCGTGCTGCGTTTTCCAGGGAATCTCCAATTTGTCATGCAGACCATTCTTTTAATGGATGTGACTTAACACCTCCTTCAGTGCTGAAATCCATCCCTCCCGACGCGTCTGTGCGGTACGAGCGCCTCGTTCACAGCCCCGAGCGCTCCTTTCGCACACACTCCAGGGGATTTAGGAATAAGGAACCTCGGGATGGCCGCAGCCACTGCTCTGACACGGACCACGAGAGCCCTGGGGATGAGAATTCCAGCTCGTTTTCTGAGCCGGTTAATCGGACATTAAATTCCAGCTGATGCAGCGCTTGGTGTTAATGAACCCCCAGCTCGGGGGAGCGGCAGAACACTGGATTTTTAAGGAATAAATGCAAGTGAGGAGGGAGAGCCTCCCCAAATCCCCCCAGTGAGGGGTGCTGGAGGCTTTCCGAGCTGAGCCTGGAGCTCATCTGCTCCGTCACAGCCGTTCCATCGGCCTGGGACACAGAGGGGTCGGGAGCTGAGCACCCACCACGGGACTTTGCTGGAAGAAATTCCCGTCGGGAAAGAGAAGCCATCACAAATGTAGTTTTTGCCGCTCAAGGGAGGCAGAGCAGAGCTCAGCTCGCCTGAATTCCAAGATTCCCAGCCTTCACCTCTGATAAATCAAAGGATGAGCGTGGCTGCTCCTCGTGGTTGTCCCTGTGATTCACTGCAGCTCCCTGACAACAACATCCAAGTGTCAGTCACAGAGGGATCTGGCCAGGAAGGTTTGCAACTCTCTCTTTCTAAACACACCTTGATTTTTAAATAGTGTATTTAAAACTGTATCTTGCCTACAAAAATCTTCTGGCCAGCTGGGTCAAACCAAAGCTGACTACACACCACGCCTCCAAAAACCACATTTAATACCATGAGCAGCTTATTAATTCATGTACAGCTGTCAGAAGAACTTTCAGTGCTAGAACTGCCAAACTCCAAGATCGACACGGGAACTCTTTCAGTAAGGAAAAAAAAGAAGGAGAAAATAGAAATTAGGCACCTCTAGTCAGAGCCACCCAGTATTTTGTGCTTCGAGAATTAGTTTCTCTCCCTCTCTCCTTTCCTGAAATAGGCTGCTTGACATTTGATAACAGACCCATTCTTCACTTCAAAATGCATTTCCGTGACTCAGAAATTAAAGTGGAAAAGACTAATTAATTCATCCAAGCCGAGTGCTCTGCGATGAAAGCCCCCCCTGTGCTTCGTGCTGCTTTGTTCAGGCAATGCCAGGCACCAGCTTCTCCCCCCAAACCGAGCCCTCAAAGCACCCCATCCCCCCGAGGCAGACAGGAAGAGCTCTTGTGTTCAGAGCCACCTCCCTGCAAGTCATTTGTCCTGCACAGGATGGCCAATTTGGGAAGAACTGCTCCGGGTTCACCCCTCCCTTAAGTCCTTGCCTCCAGTCACCAACCTTGTCCTAAAACAGGTTGTTCTACCAACATGTTGGCACAAAGCACCAAAAACTGAAGTTAATTAAAAATAAAGATTGAAAAAGCCCCACAAACCTTAAAAGAACCTTGTGGCCTCATAGAATGGTTTGGGTTGGAAGAGATATTAAGGATTTCCTGTTCCAGCCCCCCTGCCATGGGCAGGGACACCTTCCACCAGCCCAGGTTGCTCCAAGCCCTGTCCAGCCTGGCCTTGGACACTTCCAGGGATCCAGGGGCAGCCACAGCTTCTCTCCAAGAACTCAAGTGTTGGCAATTCACTCTGACAATCCCAGGGGCTATAACATATTAGCAGCTCAAAGTCCTCCTCCCATCCCCTTTTCCAGGTTCTTCCCCCAAGGCACAGCCCACCTGACAAGGGGCACAAGCACACTGGAGAGCTTTGGTCACCAGCCTCCCAGATTTCTCCCTGCCAGTCAGACTTGGCATGTCCTCCAACCTCTCTCTCCTCCCCCTCCCCAGGTGAGGCAGGTATTTATCCCCCTCCAAGCTGCTGCAGGGCCTCCTCACAGCTAATTAGCAGCTGAACCTGACTGTAATTATCTGCTTTCAGATGGTGGGTGCTCTCCCACATACCCGGGAAATTAAAAGAAAGGAGTGTTGAGTGGCACTGACAGCCTGACAAGTCCCACCCAGGAGGAGTTTTCCAGCTCATCAAACAGGAAGAAAATGCTGGAGCAAGCCAGGCAGTGATCCAAGGACTGGGAAAGGCTACAGGGCAGTGGGCACGGCCCCAAGGCTGCCAGAGCTCCAGGAGGGTTTGGACAATGCTCTCAGGGACAGGGGGGCTTGTTGGGGTGTCTGTGCAGGGTCAGGAGTTGGATCAGATGGTCCTTGTGGGGCCCTTCCAGCTCAGGATTGTGGGACAAGTAGCAGAGGAAGGACACAGCCAAGCAGCCTCCATGTGCCAGAGGATTTCCCCACGGATCTGTGACAAATCAGGGAATCCTTGAGGTTGGAAAAGACCTTTAAGATCATAAAGTCCAACCATCAACCAGCACCGTGTTCACCACTGATCCCTGTCCCCAAGTGCCACATCCACAGGGATTTTAAATCCCTCCAGGAATGGGGACTCCACCACCTCCCTGGGCAGCCCCTGCCAGGGCTGGGACAACCCTATCCATGAGGGAATTTTCCCTGATATCCAACCTAAAACTTCCCTGATGCAACTTGAGGCCAGTTCCTTTTGTCCCATCACTTGTTCTGTGGGAGCAGGGCCCCCCCCTTGGCTCCCCCCTCCTGTCAGGGGGTTGCAGAGCCAGAAGGTCCCCCCTGAGCCTCCTTTTCTCCAGGCTGAGCCCCCCCAGCTCCCTCAGCTGCTCCTCATCACACTTTATGCTCCATGGACAAAAATCATTACTCCCTCACTTCTTCCAGCCCAACAAAACAAATCTGGGAAAAAAACCTCAAAGTCTCTGAGTACTGAAAAGGCCATTTGTACAGTCACTAACTTATCACATCACACTCCTTCCAACTTAAAACTGGTCATCACAAAAGAAGTAGAATATGCACAGTCAAATCCTTTTGTAGTTTCCACTCATCTCCAAGTTTTTGAAGGGCAGATTTGTTAGAAGTGATCAGCTCTTACTGTGTTGGATTTAAAAAGAAAACAAAAAAAAAACCTTAAACATATTTTCCCGTGCTCATAAAAGTGATGTGCAGCCACCTGGAACTCAATTCTCCCCCGTTTTCAGGCAAAATATTCCCTTGGATTCACCTGCTGGTGCACAAAACCCCCTGGAACCGTGTCTTACATAGAAAAATATGTCAAGTTTTCCTAGTTTCTTATTTACAGAGCAATTCTGCTTTTCTTCTCGGGCCTTAATTGTTGTGTCACCATCTTCTGCCTCACCCCAAAACAAAGCCACATTCCCACACGCAAAACAATCCTAAGCTTTTGCCTATAAGGTTGATAAGGAAGGTTTTTACACTTTATTGTCCCCCAGGAATGGGGTTTTTGGGGTACAGATGGTGGGAACAGCTCTGTCACCTCCCCTTCCTGAAGGAATGGAGCTGTTTCTGGGATAGGTGGGAGGAGGGTGTGAAGAGCCACAAACCCCAGAGCCCGTGGGCTGATTTCCTGCCTCCAGTCCCTCTCTCGGGCAGGAAAAGCAGTTATTTACACTCAGATTTTCTTTGAGCTCATCCACAGTCCAGCAGGAGAGCAGGAGGGTGGAATTCCACCCTGTTCCCTGAGCATCAGTGCCTGCTGCCAGCACAGGCACCTCTGGGAGCTCACAAACACGGATCACTCGGGTGTGAACACAAAGGTAGGAGACACAGCAGATAAATTGTTTCTTAGAGCACTATTTCCGAGAAGAAATCACTTCTAAACCTCCAAAACCCAACCCCAGTGAAATCCAAATTGATGCCGTGTCACAATCAGTTCAATTCCATCCAAACCCACTTTTTATACCAAAACAAATTAATAAAATCCAAAAGGTTTTGCAACAACAGGCCTGGCTAAAAAAAAAACATCACCATGAGATAAAGTGCCACTTTTCAAGTTATGTCGAATTTTTAAGCCCTTCTCAGCACCACCTTTTTTTGGTTTTACTGATAGTTTTACAGAACACCAAGACCACAGATGTGCAGGAGAGGAAAAACCAAAACAGACTTGAAAACCACGAGCTTTTAAGGCCTCATCTCTCTCCTCAAAGTCCAGCAGCCAGCAAGCAGTTAAAATAATCTTTGCCTCCTGCTCTCCTCTGCATCATCCCGAGCCTGCTTTAATCTCCCATTAATCTTTCCTCCTGCTATTTCCAGCGCCCAAAGAATTATTCAGCCCGTTATTTTGCGACAAAGAAGAAACAGCAGCGGCTCTAACAGTTGTTTTCTCTTTGCTGTTTCAGATTGATGAAATTTCGTAGCAAACGCTGTAAAATAAACTTTATTTGCCGTTAGCTCGGAAGAAGCGTTTACCCGATCCTCGGGAAAACAGTCGGGAAATCCCAACTTCAGAATATTTTAGGGAAAACCCCAGCTTCGAGCAGCTGTGCCAAATCCCATTTACACCGGTTTATATCCATGCAGGAGGAATATCAGCGGGCATTGAAATCCTCCCGGTGTTCCGAGCTGGCAGCGGGTGCTTCCTGCTCTGTGTGAGCGCTGGGAAAAACGGGAACGAGCCGGGCTGAGCGGCTTCCAGGGAAACCTACGGCTGGAACCGGCAGCCCCAAACGCTATTCCAGGGAAACCTATGGCAGCCCAAAACATTATTCCAGGGAAACCTATGGCAGCCCAAAACATTATTCCAGGGAAACCTATGGCAGCCCAAAACATTATTCCAGGGAAACCTACGGCTGAAATCCCCACAGCCCAAAACGTTGCTCCGTCCCTACCACACGCAGCCTCTGCCCGTGGTTTTCCAGGGATATTTCGATCCTTCCCGGCAGCCTCGCACAGCGGAGACGGTGTCTGTTCCTCGGGGAGATCCCGGGCAAATCCCTGCGCGCCAGGGCTGGGATTCAATCCCGGTTTGTCACACATCGCGCTCCGGGTCAGGATAATCCCCGATTAACAAACCCCGCGGGGAGCGGCAGGAAAGGCAGCGGGATCAGGGCGGGGGGAGCGCCAAGAGCATCGCTCCTTCTGCCGCTCCCCGGCTCCAGCGGTCCCTCCAACCCCCCTGGAAGAGGGAAAGGAACCGGGTCCCGTCTCATCCCGCACCCCCCGCCTCGCTTACCTGCGGCGGAGCCCCGAGCTCGGCTCCCTGTGCCCGGGGCTCGGCTCTGTCCCCTTACCCGGGGCTCTGTCGCTGTGCCCGGGGCTCTGTCCCCTTGCCCGGGGCTCTGTCCCCGTGCCCGGGGCTCTGTCCGTGTGCCCGGGGCTCTGTCCCCGTGCCCGGGGCTCTGTCCCTGTGCCCGGGGCTCTGTCCGTGTGCCCGGGGCTCAGCGCGGAGCCGCCGCCCGCCTCCCCCGCATGGCCGGGAATGTGCGGGGGGAGCGCGGCGGGAGCGCGGCCCCGGGGCCGCCGGGATCGGGCTCAGGATCGGGATCGGGCTCAGGATCGGGATCGGCACCGCCTCGGCCCGCGATGGCTGCGGATCCCGCGGGATGAGGCCCGGCCCGGCGGACAGGGAGGCGGCGGGGCCGGGAGGATGGAAGGATGGAAGGATGGAGGGATGGAGGGATGAAGGGATGAAGGGATGGAGGGATAGAAGCACGGGCAGGTGCCGGGGGAGGCTCCGCGCCTCCAGAACAGCGGCGGCCGGGAAGGGGCGGGGGCGGCGCGGGCGGGGAAGGGGCGGGGAGGGAGGCGGGGGAAAGGAAGGGATGCGGGAAGGGAGGATGGAGGAGCGGAGATCGGGGGATGCGGGAAGGGAGGATGGAGGAGCGGAGATCGGGGGATGCGGGGACCCGGGTGGAAGGCAGCGGGGCTGAGAGGGTCGGGGGATGAGGGAAGGGGCGGTACGGGGAGCGAGGAGGGGTGAGGAGGAGAGCGGGGGATGCTGTGGGATGGGGTGATGAAGGGAATAGGGGAAAGCAGGGACGCTGCGGGGATCGAGGGGCGCGGGATGGGGTGATGGGGGAAGACGGGAGGAAGGCAGGGAGGAAGGCAGGGGGGCTGAGGGGAGCAGGGGATGCGACAAGGGGTGATGAGGGGAGCGGGGAGGAGGGCAGGGGGACTGAGAGGGTCGGGGGGTGCGGGAAGGGGCGCTGAGCAAAGCGGGGGTCAGGGGAGGAGGGATGGGGTGATGAAGGGAGCGGGGAGGAAGGCAGGGGGGCCGAGGGGAGCAGGGGATGCGGGATGGAGTGATGAGGGGAGCGGGAGATGCGGGATGGGGTGATGAGGGGAGCGGGGAGGAGGGCGGGAGGGCTGAGGGGAGCAGAGGTGGATGCTGAGGGGACCGAGGGGGAAGGCACGGGGACTGGGGGATCGAGGGATGCGGGAAGGGGAGCTGAGCAGAGCGAGGGGGATCGGGGGATGCGGGAGGGGGTGCTGAGCGGAGCGGGCAGCGATGCCGGGGGCAGATGGAGGGAACAGGAGGGTACTGAGGGAGCAGGGGAAGGCAGGGGCAGTGAAGCACATCTCCTGCACCACGTTTCAGGTCAGCATCAAAGGTCTGTGCCCCTCGCCCAGCGCTGTGCCCATCCCAGCAGGGCAGTGCTGGGGTCACACGCACTGCTCCAACTGACAGCGGGGCCCTGCAGGCTTCATTCCCGACTTTTTGAGGGAAACATCTCTCAGTTGAAAAGGAAAGCAGACGGTAAAAGCTGTTCATCCTGGGAAAGATTGCACAGACATTCCCTAAGGGAGGAGTGGATAAATCACGGAATAAGAGAGCGGGTTGGGCTGGAAGGGACATTAAAGCCCATCCAGTGCCACCCCCTGCCATGGGCAGGGACACCTTCCACCAGCCCAGGTTGCTCCAAGCCCCGTCCAACCTGGCCTTGGACACTTCCAGGGATCCAGGGGCAGCCACAGCTTCTCTGGGCAACCTGTGTCAGGGCCTCCCCATCCTCCCAGCCAGGAATTCCTTCCCAATATCCCATCTCTCCCTGCCCTCTGGCACTGGGAAGCCATTCCCTGTGTCCTGTCCCTCCATCCCTTGTCCCCAGTCCCTCTCCAGCTCTCCTGGAGCCCCTTTAGGCCCTGCAAGGGGCTCTCAGCTCTCCCTGGAGCCTTCTCTTCTCCAGGTGAACCCCCCCAGCTCTCCCAGCCTGTCCAGGAGGGTTGGTGTTTGGATCCAGCAATCCCTGCTCTCCTTTCCCTCCCCTGTCTGTGACCAGCCTTGGCAGCACTAAAGCACAGCGAGAAACTCCTGACTTCCAACGTTGTATTGTCAGTTGAATAATATCTTTTAATTTTTTTTTACACTGAAAACTAAGTGCAGAAACTGAAGTGCTTTGATCCAAGGATTAGAAACCTCTTGGCACTTTGTATTTCTGTTCCTCTTGCAAAAATAAGTAATATAAGCATTTTCCTCTTATAAAAATAAGTCATATAAGCATTTCCCCCCTTATAAAATAAGTAATAAACACATTTTTTCACTGTGACCTAAAATATTTAACCACATGATTTGAGGGCCTCTTACACTCCCCAAAACACACTGATAATTGCTCAGGGCTTTTTAACTGCTCTGTCTCTGTGAGATGTGCAGCAAAGGGTTAAATGATTCCTGAGGTCAACTCAGAGCCAGCAAAGCAGTGCAGGGCTGGGAATCCAGCATTCCCTGTGTCCCTGAGGATGAGCCAGTCAATTCCTCTGCATTGCAGCTTTCTTATCTCCAGCCCCTCAGCGCTGTGAGAGCATTAATTGCTTCCTGTAAAGCACGTGGAGATGCACAAATGGATGTTCCCTGTGCAAGTGCAGAGGATCCTTTCCCTCTCCACTCCTAACACTCAGAGTAAGGTGTTTGCTCCAAGTGGGAAATCACAGCAGAGGGAAAAAATGATCCACAGGGTTTGGCACCTTTCATTATTTCTATTACATTCTATTATAATTGAATTAATTTCTATTTATCACCACGGGATAAATAAAAAAGGAACAGCAAAATTCAGGGACTGAATTATTAATTCAGCACTAATGGCACCTGTTTGGAAGAGCAGCCTAAAAATCCTCCAGTTTTACTCATGGAAAGGTTTGGGAAAAGTGTCCTTGCCCGTTGCAGGGGGTGGGATGAGATGAACTTTAAGGTCCTTCCAGCCCGAAGCATTGCAGGATTCTGGGATGCAATAACCAGGATCCCACTCATGGAAGCAAAGGGATGTTCTGCATTCCTGTTTGCTCTGGGAGGGAAAAAGAAAAGCTCTAGTAGGAAAAAAAAACACCCGCCAAAAATAGGGAAAGCTGAGGAGGAGTGGAGATGGGAAGTGGCTTTTTTGTGAGGGCAACTGGAGCCACCTGGAATTTTCCTCTGCCTGTGGAGGCCAGAGGAGACAGACTGAAGCCCATGAAATCCCAGATGTCCTCAAAAAGTCTGATATAACTGATTTTCCACGGTTTGGGCTGGAGGAGCAGCCAGTGAGAGCATCCAGCAGCACATCCCAGCTCCCTGCTGGGGCTGAGGTGTTCTGGGACAAAATTCACAATAATCCTGGGACTGTCACAGCTCCAGCTGCTGCTGGAACCCAAAGTGCCAGCAGACTGAAAGGGATGGGAAGAGTCATTCCTGGAAGAGCTAGAAATAGGAGTCCAGTGGGATGGTCGGGATGCAGCCCCCACACTGGGAACACCACATGGAGAATTTGCTGGAAGCACAGGCTGCTGGGAAAGCATTCCATTAGAATTCTAGATTTTTGCTATTTCTTAGCCCATTTTCCAGAATTATCCTATAGTTTTGCTATTCCTTAGCCTGTTTTCCAGAATGATTTTATATTTTTGCTATTTCTTAGCCCATTTTCCAAAATGATTTTATAATTTTACTATTCCTTAGCTCGTTCTCCAGAATGATTTTATATTTTTACTATTCCCTAGCCTGTTTTCCAGAATTATCCTATAGGTTTTCTATTCCTTAGCCCGTTTCCCAAACATCCACTCCAGATCAGTGCCAGTCTTTCCATCAAGTGTGTCCACTCTTTTCTTTCCAATAGCACCTTTAGCACAGGGATAAAGCCAATTTTAAAGAGAGAAGTCTTGGCAGGACAGAGGAAATAACCTCTATTACAGGAATGTAGTTCTGAACAACTGGGGAAACACGAAGTATAAAACTGGAATATCCACCATGACCTTCCAGCTAATTTTTCATGCCAGAAGGGAACTGTTTTTACTGGAGAATAAATATCTGTGTGTTTGTTTCCCTGGACAGACCCTGTGACTTGGGTCTGATCTGCAGAAAGGAAAACAAAGCTGGAGGAAGGAGATGATTTGTTTTCATCTGAGTTTTACATCAATAATTAGGCAAAATACAGATCCCTTTCCCACCAGCTCAGAAATAAAACGTGCTGACAGTTGAGCAGTGGGTGCTGCCTTCCAGAGTGATCCATCCCTTCTTTCCCAGGGAACAGCAGCCTATTCCACTCGCTCACTGTTATTGCTCTGGCTGTGTTACCTCTTCAAATGCAGGGACAGCAAATGTAACCATTCATCAACCCCCTCCAATGTCCTTTGGAACATTCAAGCAATCCCAGCCTCCAGCAGGGACTTCCCACACGACACAACCTGTTCTGTTTGGAAAGAAAATGGGACAACCTTTGGAATGTGAGGAGTTTGAAACCCCCCTGTGTTCCCTGCGCTCCCTTTACGCCTCCAACACGAATCCTGCAGGTTTTTAGGGCAGGGTTTGGCACTCAGAGCTCTCAGCTGATGGAGGAGGTGTGGGAAGGGATAAATCACCTGCATTGGCAGCAGTTCAGGTCCCTCACACTCGAGTTTCTGCTCAGACAAACGTCACCTGGGCTTTGAGATTCCATTTCTCTTTGTCCTGAGTCCTCCTCCCTTGTTTCAAAAGGCAAATCCCAGGCTGGTCCTGGCTAGTCCTGCCTTGGTGGAATCATTTACCTCTGCTTCTGCTTTCTTAATTAAAGAGCAGGATATATTTCTCAGCTGGTGGCAGTGAAATAAGGGCACTAATGCTGGGCCATGTTTTGCTTCTTAATTAGGTGCATCATCTGCTTTGATTTAGAAAGATGAGCAAGGTTAGTGAAGCTGGAAAACGTGCATAGGACTGAGTCTAAGGCTTTACACTGAGTCTGAGAAAAACCAAATCCTAAATTTCAGTGAATTGTGTTTTAGGTGCAGTGAGAAGCAGGTGAGGAGCACGCCAAGGTCCGGATTTCCTCAGTGACCCAACCTGTGCTGGAGGGGGTTCCTCAGGACACAAAACCTCTGCCCAGCC